TTGTGTTTTTTAGTCATTGCTACATAGCACACCTTTTTAACACAGTTGATTATCAGTAGATGTTTGTTAAAGAAAGAAGGAAAAAGTGAATTCTGCTACACATTCAAAGTTTTAATTTAAGCTTTGTGATTCAATTAAGTTGGCTGGTGAAGAATAAACTCCTGAAAGTGTATATTTGATTATTGAAGAACATAATATTTCTTTCCATTTATCTGTCTTTCTTCATATGTCTTGATTATTTTAAGATAATTAAACTTATTTCTAGATGTTTAATTTTTATTGTTACATTTATGATTGAAATCTTTATTTCTGGGGCATGCAGGAAAATTTCTTATATACATTTATCATCCACCTTACTCAACTCTTATTAGTGGATTGCAGAAGGCATTTGAATTAATGTTTATTTTAGAGATACCTTGTAAATTTCCCTACCTCATTTTCATGTTTTGATTGAATTAAACATGACTTTCACAAATTTCTTAAAAAAATTTAACACTTTTAGTGTTGTAGATAAATCAAGGGAAAGAAAAATTTGCATAAAAATTAATTGCCTCATTGTTCCACTCCTGGTCAAGTGTAGACTATCTTCAAGATCCCTTGTACTTTTCCTAAGCATGGATATAATTGGCAGTTGGTATGGTGAAATGAAACCTCTTGGCTGAGCCACAATTGTTAGTTGTTAGTTATCTGGTTTGTTCTTAGAGGGAAAGTCATCTTATCTCAGAGATGATAGAGTGAGAGGGAACCATGGCTTATATTTTTACTAGATTTTTCTTCTTAAATCCAAGTTAGAAGAGAGAGAGTGCAATTACTATTGGCTTACCTGCTTTATCAGACTTAGCCGAAAATTTATCCAATGGAGGGAAAAAATTCTCTAGCCAGAGTGTGCAGAGTCAGTACATAGTTAGCTCAGATCCAGACACATTCAAGCTTTCAACCTTCACCGCGGTTTGTGTGTTAGTTTCCTATGCCTCTGACAATTTACCATAAGCTTGGTGGCTTAAAACAATGGAATTTCTTTTCGGTTATGGTTCTGGAGGCCAGAAGTTGAAATCATTTTCACTGGGCTGACATCAAGGTGTCGGCAGGGCTGCACCTGCTCCAGACGCTCTAGGGTAGAATCTGCTCTTTGCCTCTTCCAGCTCTGGTGGGTGCCGGCATTGTTTGGCTTGTGACATCATCACTCCAATCTCTGCCTCCACGGTTTTGTGGCTTCTCTTCTTTTGTCTTCAAATCTCCCTCTGAGTCTCTTAAAAGTATACATGTGATGCTTTTAGGTCCCTATAATCCAGAATTATCTTCCTATCTCAATACACTTAATTCAATCACATCTTCAAAGTTTTTTTTTTTTTTCTGTATAAGGTAACATTTACAGATTCCAAGTATTAGGACCTGATTTTTTTTTTGCCTTTCACAGTTGGCATGCTGGTGCTTTTCTTTTCCAAGTTGAGAAAATAATGTCCATATCAGGCAGAATCCAGACATGAAAATAGAAACCACATCAATTATTTTTATTTTCTCAGTGTTTAAAATTTTTATTTAAAAAAGCCATATAGGAAAATTGACTATATTTGTGTACAGTTATATCTATGAATTTTGAATTTTAATATATAGTAGAGACTCATGTAGCCATCACAGAATCATGATACAAAAGAATTTCATTGCTCCCCAAAACTCACTTGTACTGTCATTTCTAATTATACCTACTCTAATCCCTAACTCCATGAAATCTTGAATTGTTCTTTTATCTTTTTAAGAATGGCATACAAATGGAACCACACAATAACGAAACCTTTTAAGAAGTCTGCATCTTGGTGAGATGCCACTGGGCATATGCATGATCTCCAATTCTGCCACAACTCTCAGTTTATTCTACACCTGATGTTTTGAACTTTTAAGTCATTGTACAGGAATAACTCATCATTTCAAGTGTTTGAATTCCTTTGGAGATTTGATTTACAGTTCTACACAAGAAACACTATAACAATCAATAATGGAGAGATTCAGGGGAGTGTTGGACAAACTCATATAATCAGGTCGAAACATATTCTTTATGTAAGTCTAGTCAGACCAACTCCATTCTAAATTTTTCTAACATTTTAAGAAAAATTTTATTCATCAAAATTCACTTTAGTAGTACTAATTGGGATATGGTTATTATCTGGCTTTTCTAGCAATTGACTTTAATTAACATATCCAACAATTCTTTAACTTTGTTGCAGCAGCAATGGGTTTGTAGAGATGAATTATAGCATTAGGGTGGTTATTGCTTTAGGTAAAGACAATACCTTAGCAAGTTATTTTATTAGTAAGACAACAAAATAGAGTACATCAGAAATATATAACACTCTAGCATTAGGGGGAAAATACTACTGAAAGGGTGAAAAACAAAGAATGCAAAGGAGAGTATGACAATCAGTGGTTCCAAACGTCTAGAAGAATTCTCTTCTAATGGTCTTGGATGGGGCTGTCTACTTTGTGCCATTATGTGTTTGTTTCAAGGCTACTGGGTCAGCACTCATCTTCTGTGGACTGTCTGCTTCTGACCATTTTCTGGAGAACCTCAGTTTAAGATCTCTGATGTAAGTAACTATTCAAATCTGTCACTTAAGGATGGGTGATGTACTTTATCTGCTGGGCTGGTAGTTAATAGTACCTAATAAGTTCATTTCCACAAGCTCAATGGCAGTCTTTCTCTGGAATTTTTTCAGAGCACCAAGTCACCCCTGTTAACATCAGGTAAAGGCTGATTAAATGAAAGGCTAGGAAATCAATCTGTGGCTGTTGATGAAAAGACTTAGTGTCACGGGTTTATTTATCTAGTTCAGTTTATGAAAGATTGGAACGTGTATGGTTTGGGACATTCTGAGTTACATGGGCCTATCAGTGAGCAGTTCATAGTAAGACAACGTACGACTTTGTGAGGGGAAGAATGCAGGGCTATGAGAGCTGAGGCTAATAATGCATGAGGCCACTGGAGTTCAAGGCTGTCTGCTATTGTAACTAATTTCAGTTTTAATATTCCATTTGTTCTTTCCACTTTTTCACAGGATAGAGAGGTGATAAGAAAAGTAAAGTTTCTGAGGGAGAGCAAAACTTTATGTAGTTGTCCCAGAGAAATTTGCTTCCCTACATAGAGATAAATAGAAATAGCTCAGATGGTAAACACAAAATCAAGTTGATTTGAACTCTTATGAGTGCTGTGGTTTTCTGGCAGGAGAGTACTTCAACCCATGTAGAAAATAAAATACTATTACCAGTACATACATGACCCATGGAGGGAATGCAATTGTGTAAGATCCTTTTGGAGATACTCAGATGTTTTCCTGGGATAGTGTTCCAGTTCATATCCCACCTTTACAGTTTTTGTTGGATTTGGCTGGTCCCAAGAAAAGCATGAACTGGCCCCATTCTCTGCTATGCTATTTTCCCCACCAGTGTTTGTTTATATTGCAGCCAACATGTCCCTACTATGTTGCATTTTCTCTGGAGGATTTTAGTAAATATTCATAGGAGAACATTTGGCTCCAGTAGACAGCTTTCCTGGCTTTGACGTATCTTGTCCTCATGAATCAAACAAATCAATCGTTTCTAGTGATTCTTTACAAAATTGGGGGCCAGATTTTCTGCATCTAAGATGGAATTATTGAACTTTTCCATGGTTTTGTCTTTATGTTCTCAAAGAGGAGCCTGAATGAGGACTTCAGTCAGAGAGCCATGTTTAGCACGATGACCTGCTCAAGCAATTTTTTCCTAGCTCCTATACTGTCTTCCTGACTCCAGATTCAACAATTCTGCCTTCATCTCATTTACATGCCAAGATGCTGTTAATTTGGAGAATGTTGTAGGATTTACCTCTAAGCAAAATCTTGTGTTGAAACTGCACCCAGAGACAGTGCTCCAGGGAGGAGTGCTGGGCCATGATGGGACTGAAGCCAAGTGCCCTGCAGAAGCCTGGGCTTCCAGTTAGTTAGGTCCTCAGTTCACCAGGAAAGGAGATGAGAGACAGGGACCTGGAGCAGCAGAAGGCAGGTAGCATCCTAGCCTTGGATCTGGGTGGTGTTTCCAAAGAAGGGGCCTGACTATGGCAGGAAGGGGTAGAAAGAGTCCCCTCCAGTCTGGGACCAACAAACTTTGGACATGGGATCAGCTATCACCTCTCCCACCTCCCAACCCCACCTGAGATCCTCTTTCCAACCTTTCCAGACCACACCCCTTTAATGCATGGGTTAAACCAAGGCTTCTAAGAGTCCACAGGGTAGAATTTGGGCTTTGGGCTCAAAGCTTTGATCTACTGCTTACTATTTCTTCCTATTTCCATTTGCCTGCCTAACTTTGACTCATCCTCAGGTTGCAGCTTAGACATTCCGTCCTCCAACAAGCCTTCCCTGATTCTTCATGTTGGAAAAGAAGGCCCCTATGTGCCCCTACCACCTTCCCTCTCCATGCTTCTTTTTATCACAGACTTGAGCACCCTAGAGGCTCGCTGTGTATTCATGTTTCTTGACTATGATTCTTTGAGGGAAAGGACTGTGTTTTATTCATCCCTACATCCGTATAGGCGTTGTTCTACCTGTTGGTTTAAGGTGATGAGAAACACAGAATCATTCAAAAAGGACTCTACGACTTAATCCTTCCTCTGATTTCAACCCAAAACTCTTTTCTGTCATTCTCGTGGATTAAAAGTTGGTTTATGATGGAATTATGAGAATATTTAGGACTATATTAAAATATTCAAGAAAATGGATATCTTCTCAGCTACAGAAATACCCTGGGATGCTCTGGTAAAAAAATTTCCATGTCAGCTGGTGTCCTAAAAAGAAAATAGACCACAAAGGTTATGACAGCTGTTGTTTAGGTTTACAAGAGCCACCTGAAAACTGACATGTGCCTTGTAAATGAGGTGTGGGATGAGAACATATTTCTGACTTTGGGAGGAGTCTAGGAAACATGCATCCCATGTCAGTCCCTGTCCACCAGGGGGTGCAACTTCCTAACACAAACATTTCCTGAGTGAAACGTAGGCTTTGGTTTACCATTTCAGTGTGGCTTCAACGTTTCTTCATGCTAAGAATCAGGAACATATGTAGACAACACTCTAGAGATGAACTCTGCTCCAGGCTTGGTGACCGTGGTGCTCTTAATGCTTGGTAAGCAAAACGTCTCTTAAAATTTAGATTCTTTCTTCTGATATGTCAGAAAAATCTTTAATCATAAATTTTGTCCCAGAACTTTATGCCAAAGGTGACACAAATCTCTTTTATTTTTCCCCAGGACAAATCTATGGAGACTCGGTGACTCAGATGGAAGGCCAAATGACTCTCTCAGAAGGGGCTTCTCTGAAAATGAACTGCACTTATTCAACCACAACCTATGTCGCTCTTTTCTGGTATGTGCAATATCCCAGAGAAGGTCCACAGCTCCTCCTCAGAGCCACGACAGCCAACGAGAAGGGACGCAACAAAGGTTTTGAAGCCACATACAATACAGAAACAACCTCCTTCCACTTGGAGAAAGCCTCAGTCCTAGAGTCAGACTCAGCTATGTACTACTGTGCTATGAGTGACACAGTGACAGGAACTGCAGGGGGAGCTGAGCACAAACTCTGAGCAGTAATACGGGGCATGTCTGCTGAGTATCTCTGGTTGCTGTTTAATGTCCTCTGGTTTCATCACTGTCTATAGTTGTTTGTCCCTCAGTCTCTGGTTGATACAAAAATCATTCCAATGGCTTGAGTATAAGACCAAAAAGTGAACATTCTCCACATTCAACTCTTATTAGGGAAATTGAAAATAGAGTCTGATACCAATAGTTTGCATTCACGGCCAAAGTAATTTCAAGATGAAAACACACAAAGAGTGAAATGATCTCTGGGCTCATCCTTACAGAGTCCAGCCCCTATGAGTTTTTCCAGACCACCCTGATGAGTGTTGCTGTGTCTCATACTTTTAGAAAGCCAAAGTGTGCCAGAGAATGTGACATCTGCATAATGTCTTCCTGACAGAGTATGGCAGGAGAGATGATAGGAAAGATAGAGCTTTCAAAGTCAGGTTTTTAATTAAGAAAGAGAGAAGAAAAGAAAGGACAGGGAACAGAATTTCATATGAAACTGAATAATGGAAAGTGAGGAGAGGGACATTTATTCCAGTTTCTTTCTTTGGTCAACCAGATGGTAGAAATAGACTCTTATTCAAAATGAGGGAGAGACCAAGAACATAATTGATCAAATGACTTATGTCTAACTCCTGAACAGTGCCCCTTATCTTATTCTCGGCTCGTTACCTAGATCTGTTGGCTTTCTAATGGTAATAACTCAAGTGAGGTAGTTTTCAGCACCAATGAATATGGTGAGAGAAAATGCCCTTGAACAGAAATTCTTCATAACAGTATAGATAGTGACACTGGCTGAGGGAAATCCTACAGCTTTCTCTAACTCCTGTTTTGCAACTTCTCACAGAGGAGGGAAAATCATGGGATTGGGAGAAGGTATGGCAGTAAGAGAAGAGGGTGCAGTGAAAAGAATAATAAAATATTCAATCTCTGTATTGCCCTACAAATATACTGCCAGTCTTTGCAAATATTGGTGCAGTCTTATTTAATTAATATCTGTTTATTGACACACTGAGAGTACTTTTGCTGCTTGGGAGAAAGGTTTTGAGCACAGGAGCGAAGGACATGATGTATGTTCTCTGATTCTGCAGTGGCTGTCATGGTGAGTGTGACTACAAATGTTCTTGGCTTTGAAATATCTGTTTCTTCTAAAATATTTTTCTTTTCCACTTTTTCCAGGTCCATGAAAGTTTTCTCTTTTATTTTTTCTTGGGGGCCATATTTGTAGATTTTATGAATGAACAATAATCATACTACTAATATATTTTCTTACATATTAGTTATGTATTCTTGATTTGTTTAATTGTTTCTAATTAAATTTGGCTTAAAATGCAAATTTTATTTTTAAAGCTCTATAAATATAAATACATGTCAAAATACACTTTAGATAATACAAAAGGGTATATAATAATTTTCTCAGCTATTTGGATAAAAATGGTAGATTAATAATGCACCTTTATTGGGGCCGGCCCAGTGGTGCAGTGGTTGAGTGTGCACGTTCTGCTTCAGTGGCAAGGGGTTTGCCAGTGTGGATCCCGGGTGCGGACATGGCGCCGCTTGCAAGCCACGCTGTGGTAGGCGTCCCACTTATAAAGTAGAGGACGATGGGCACAATGTTAGCTCCAGGCCAGTCTTCCTCAGCAAAAAGAAGAGGATTGGTGGCAGATGTTACCTCAGGGCTAATCTTCCTCAAAAAAATAATAATAATACACATTTATCTTTGCATCCCTCTGAAACTCTTTTAAAAATATAGTAAATTAATTAAAAAAGGGCATAAACCTGCAAACCTAAAGAGAACAGACAAGGAGATGACATCAGACAGTGATGTCAACAAAATTTTAGAGGGTGAGAAGTATAGGGAGACAGGAAAACTTGAATAACAGACTAGATACAGAATAAAACTAGACCTGGTGACAGAAGTCAGCAGGAAGCATCACAATGTGTGCTGTGGCCTCGTGGGAAGTTTAGGAAAAAGAAGCACCGGTTATCTTTGAGTAACTGAGGCAGATGCTGCTGTGCGTGTGTGTGTGTGTGTGTGTCTGTGTGTTGAGGCTATTGGTGGGGAGGAATGGATTAAAATAGGAGGACCAAGTGAGAAAATGTGTAAGTAACAGAAGACCCGTGCTCTTCACAACCCAAGCCATAGTATAACAAACTATGATCACTTTCTTTTTTTTAAGATTGGCACTTGGGCTAACATCTGTTGCCTATCTTTTTTTTTCCTTCTTCCCAAATTCCCCAAATATGTAGTTGTATATTCTAGTTGTAGGTTCTTCTGACTGTGCTATGTGGGATGCTGCCTCAGCATGGCCTGATGAGTGGTGCCATGTCCACGCCCAGGATCTGAACTGGTGAAACCCTGGGCCGCCGAAGCAGAGTGTACAAACTTAACCATTTGGCCACAGGGCCAGCCCTTTTTTGTTGTGCATGAGGCCGCCCTTTTTTTTTTATGATCACTTTCTAAACCCAGCAGATAATTGGAAGTTAGTCTTTTATGAATTGGGAACGTAATTCCACATAAAAACTTTCCCACAAACCTTATGCATTAATAAGCTTTTTGATTCTTATTTACCAGTTAGGCTTTCTTTCACTTAAAACTTTTTTGCCGGGGCTGACCCCGTGGCCGAGTGGTTAAGTTCGCACACTCCGCTGCAGCGGCCCAGGTTTCGGATCCTGGGCGCGGCCATGGCACTGCTCGTCAGGCCACGTTGAGGCAGCGTCCTATATGCCACAACTAGAAGGACCTGCAACCCTGCAACTAAGATATACAACTATGTACCAGGGGGGATTTGGGGAGATAAAGCAGAAAAAAAAAAAAGAAAAGATTAGCCACAGTTCTTAGCTCAGGTGCCAATCTTTAAAAAAAAAAGAAAAAACTTTTTTCCCTCCTTCATCTAACCCCTTGCAACCACTGATCTTTTCACTGTCTTCATAGTTTTTCCTTTTCCAGAGTAGTATATAGTTGTAATCATAGAATGTGTAGACTTTTCAGATTGGCTTCTTTCACTCAGAAATATGCCTTTAAAATTCCACCATGTCTTTTTATGGCTTGCTAGGTCATTTCTTTGTAGCACTGATGCTGTTCCATTGTCTGAATGTGCCGCCATTTATCCTTTCACGTACTGAGGAGCATCTTGGCTGCTCCAAGTTTTAGCAGTTATGAGTAACACTGCTGTAAACAGCTGTGTGCAAGTTTTTGTGTGGTTTTAAGTATTCAACTCATTTGGGTAAACACAAGGGATTGTAACTGCTGGACTGTATGGTAAAGAGTATGTTTGGTTGGTGAGAAACTGCTGCACTTGTGTTGCATAGGGACTGTGCCATCTTACATTCCCATCCGCCACGAATGAGATTTCCTATTGCTTCACACCATTGCCAGCATTTGGTGGTGTTAGTGTTTTGGATTTTGGCCGTTCTAATATTTGTACAGTGTTACCTTATTTTTTAAAAATTTAATTTTATTGTATTGTATAACGAACACTAAACATGAGATATATCTTCTTAACAAAATTTTAAGTTTACTATGCATTATTGTTGGCTATAGGTACAATGTTGTACAGCAAATCTCTAGAGCTTTCATCTCGCTTGAATGAGACTTAATGCCCACTGATTAGTAATTCCCCATGACCCTGTGTCCACACTTCAAGGTAACCTCCATTCCACTCTTTGAGTCTCCGAGTTTGACTATTTTAGATACCTCATTTAAGTGGAATCACGCAGTATTTGTCTTTCTGTGAGTGGCTTATTTCAGTTAACATAACGTCCTCAAGGTTCATCCATGTTGTTGCATATTGAGGAATTTCCTTTTTTTAATTAAGGCTGAATATTACTCAGTTGCATGTATATACCACATTTTCTTTATCCATTCATCTGTCATTGGACATTTAAGTTATTTCCACATCTTGGCTATTGTGAACAGTGCTACAGTAAACATAGGAGTGCTAATATCTCTTGAAGATCCTGATTTCAATTTTGGATAAATACCCAGAAGTCAGATTACTGGATCACATGGTAATTATGTTTCTAAATTTTTGAAGAACCTCCATACTGTTTTCCATAACGGCCACACCATTTTACATTACCGCAAACAGCGTGCAAGGGTTTCAATTTCTCCACATCCTCGACAACACTTGTTGTCTTTTGTGTTTTTGATAATAGCCAATCTGATAGGCGTGAGGTGATATGTCATTGTGCCTTTAATTTACATTTCCCTGATCATTAGTCACCTTGAGCATTTTTTCACATACTTCACGGCCATTTGTGTATCGTCTTTGGAGAAATGTCTATTTTACCCTTAGTCCATGCATTATCGGTTTATTAATTTTTTTTCTTTTTTTTTTTTTACTGTTGTAAGAGTTCCTTAAATATTTTGGATTTTTCCCCTTACCATATATGTGGTTTGCATATATTCTCTTCAATTCTCTAGGTTGACTTTTCACTCTGTTGATTGTTTCCTTTGCTGTGCAGAAGCTGTTTAGTTTGATGTAGTCCCACTGGTTAATTTTTGTTTTTCTTTCCTGTGTTTTTGGTGTCATAGCCATGACCATTGCCAAAATCACTGTCACAAAACTTTTCTTCTATGTTTTCTTTTCAAAAGAACAACTCTTAGTTTTATTGATTTTTTCCTATTATTTTACTAGTTTCTTCTCTGGTCTTTGTTTATCCTTCCTTCTGTAGACTTTAGGCTTAATTTGTTCTTTTTCTAGATCCTTGAGGTATAAATTAGTGTGTTTATTGGAGATCTTTCTTTTTTTCAATATGGGTGGTCATCATTATGAACTTCCCTCTTAGTAATGCTTTTGCTACGTGCCATAAATGTGGTATGAGGTGTTTTCATTTTTGTTTGTCTCAAAATATTTTTTATTTCCTTCTTGATTTCTTCTGTGACCCACTGGCTGTTCAAGAGCATGTTGTTTAATTTCCACATATTTGTGAATTTCCAAGATTGCCTTTTGCTGTTGATGTCTGCTTTCATTACATTGTGGGCAGAAAAGATACTTGGTGTAATATCAAT